GAGAGAGAGAGAGAGAGAGAGAGAGAGAGAGAGAGAGAGAGAGAGAGGGAGGGAGAGATGACAGAAGGAAACTGACCACATATTCACAAAAGGACATTCCAAGAAGCCTAGTTTAATTGGCAAAAACTGGGAGTAGCGAACAGTTTAAAACAGACACCTACATGCTCTGATGTGAAGGCAACCAGTCTTGGAATAGCTGCCATTCCCTTCTCCTTAACTTCTGGGAACATCTTGAAACGTGCAATCAACATAGCATACATGTTAGATATGGCACCACCTGGAGTCCACAGTAACACACTGTTACTTCTTCTATTCACGACTGCATGGCTTTATTTACACACATACAAAGCAATCCAGTGCATGCTTAGACTGCAAAAAGTTCTACAACTCCCAGGAAATCCCAGTATGGTAGCCGTGGCAGGAACTTTTTCTGTGTAAACATGCAAAGAATTGTGACCTTAAACAGCTTCTTTAGACACAGAGATTTTTCTCATTGAGAAGACATGGTTTGATCTTAGTCAAGGGAAATTCTTGTTCCATCTCCATCCCCTGCTGGATTAAAATTGCCTGGCAAAGGAATTCTCCCCCAACCTCAATGTGAAATAGCACATGTGATTTAGACTTGTTAGCAAAAGGTCTGAAGGTTCTCTTCCCTTCAGTAAACCTGGCATTTCCCCACATTTCATGTCTGTCTTCACAATTTTTCTGTAATCTAATGAGTGTACTAGTATATTTATCAAGACTGTCTGCTCTGTAAAACTTATTTATTTATTTAGTACATTTCTAATTGGCTCAATAACTAATGTTCTCTAGGCATATTCTACCCATCTTTTTATTTTTGAGCAGAAGAAGATGGACCATTTTTGACAAACAACAATCTATTCATTATGAATTTGGCTCAAGGCATAGTTGTTATGTAGCTGGATGCTCAAAGAAATGAAAAGTATCATTCATAATGCACCATGTGCAGTGGGGCTGACAACACAAGCCCCATAAGTAGCCAGGACTTATGCTAGCAGTTTGCACTGCATGCTCTGATTCGTTAGTGAAATGCTCAATATTATATGTTCACAAATCAATACCGCTTGCATTTTGAGAAATGGAAATGCACTTTTGGCCTGGCTCAGTTACCTGTTCATGCGTGATTTCACACACTGAGTGCACAGAAACATCCTCATAACAAGTATCATGAACTCTGAAGGTGCATCAACTTCTGTAAGATATGTTCGCACGTGCATGTATTTTGCCCATTGCCCACAGAAAGAGACTCACCCTCTGACATTGTCTTTCCAGGGCATAAGACATCGTCTTTCCAAGTGCAGGGAATTATGCAGACAAAATTGTCCCAACAGACGGCCTACATGCAAAGAGCTGTCTTCTTCGTCCTTTCTCTGCTAGTCATTCCTTTGTGAAGGTCATCTCAAAATGGGGTGGGAGTGTGCAGGCCAATGAAACAAAACCTTTGTCCCTTTCTTTGGGACTAATTTTCTAAGTTATGTTTGGGCAGGGTATGGATGTTAGTGGTGTGACCAGGTGCTTAAAATGCACAAGGAAACACTGGGTCCTTACAAGTCTTTTGTTGGCAAAGAATCACATTCAGTTCTTGCCTCATTGCTAAGTGAAGCAGAAGGATCTCAGAAAGCTCCCAGATTTGGGACAGGATGGAGATTTCTCACTAAGGATTCCCCATTCCACTGAGGAGAACCAAACACCATTCACCCTTTTCCAGTACACCAGGGTCAGACTGGAAATACACCTCATTTGTGATAGGTAAGGGTGAGGCTGCTATATGGGCCTAGTTTAGGGCTTTCCATTAAGATTCTGCACTGGGGGTTATTTTTTTCTAACTGGCTCAATATTATCTCATAACTCAGGAGGCTTTCCCAGGAGTGCTTGCCAGCGTGATTCCAAGGACTGGATGCTAGAAGCCAGTGCTACAGGCCCCCCCTTCAGCCCAAGGGCCAATATCAGTTGGGAGACGCTTCCGGGGCCACATTCCAGCGGTGCACAGGGCAAAAGGCAAAAGAAAAGTAGCATATCTTGGCTTAGGCTCTGAATGTCAGTAACTAAACCTTAAGAGAGGCATTTTAATCCTTTAAAATGGGCCAGGGCTGCACAACAGGTGAGAAATCATCAACTAATCAGCAGTCAGGTAGGGCCAGGTAAAGGGGGCATAGACCAGTTAGGAATCTAGGAGGACCAGGTTGGACACCTGAGCCTGAGGTTGCCCAGCCCTGCGGTAAACTGATGGCGGAAAGAAGGTAATGTGAAGTAGGTAAGGCTGGTCTGGTAAGCCTGGTAAGGCTCCTTGTACCAGACTTGGAGTCCTGACAAGCAAGATGTCCTATCTTCCTCCAAATTAGGCTGTTAGAATTCCTAATCTGAATAATTTGAACACAGTTTTGTGCATATATATGCAGGTTCTCCCATTACTGAGTTCATGAGGTGGAACCAGCCTTTAGCTCCACTCCCAAGCTACCATTTTGCTCTGTTGTTGCATCCTGGTATCTTACACCTGGATCTGATATCTGGTATCTTACATATCTGGATCTGATATCTTACTCCTGGGACACCCACCCCCCACGCCAAACACACACTCTACATTAGTATCAGTTCTAAGAGGTTTCCCTTAGTTTTATCACTACTGGTAGCTTCTTTAAAACTGATGTTTTACTGTAACCACAAAATATCATGGATACACTGCTCTGAGAGTTTGTTTACCCCTAGAAAGCAATATATACATGACTTCTAAAAATAAACAAAATGAGTGTTTGCTGCAGCGGTTTTGAGCCTAAAGTCTGTGGGCCAAACCCGGCCCACCTGGGGCCATGATCTGGACCTATGAAGTTTGTTGGATGGCCCTATTCCCTTCGCCGGTCCCACCCCCTTTCCCTGGCCCCCAATTGCTTTGCTTTGCAGATTTTGCCTTTTTGACATGCTGAAAGGCTTGGTTCCCTTCAGAAAATGCTTGGAACTAAAATATGCAGGGTTTGTCCTGGAGGGAGTACTTTTGGCCCTTCCCCTGTTGCCCTGAGTTCTGCCTACCACTGAAACCTGGAGCTTGAGAGCACCTCCAAAATTGCATTCAGCCCTGGATTCAAGGCTCAAAGGGCCTGGATTACAGGGTGGGGGCTGCCCTACATTCCTGGAAAGAAAAGGATATTTGCATTGGATTGACTAAGTGCCCATGGCAGTGCAGCTACCTCATTATTAAATTCTATGATTTCTTTGTTTCATGTAATTTACAAAGTATTTAATATAGCAGGTCTACAGGCAAATGTCTTTTCCAATTATATTCTCCCAAGCTGCCATGTCAGCTCTTTACAAAGCAACACAATTGGCTTGAAGGGAAGGTTCAGTGGGGGAAGGCATGGAAGTTCTGAATAATCATGTCTCTGAACTGCCATAAATATGCAACATTTTGATCTCTGAGAGAGGATGAGCAAAGTGTAGCTCTTGAACATGCATGCTACTTCTCACTCCAATGGGACTGTCAAAGGCATTGCACATCAGAGGGTTAAATACATAAGAAAGGAGTACGTACCAGGTGAAAATATCCCGTCGCCAGCACCGCCTGGCCAGCCAATGATTTCCCTCATTTTCCTTAATGTGACGTACTCCAAAAGCACAAACACTGGTGCAATTTCATAGGTGAACCTGAAAGATATCAATATCAGCAATTTATTGATCAGTTTAAAAGACTGACTTGATCTCATGTTTCCTGCCCCAAATCTTTGGCTACCTAATAAGAAGGAAGGACTCATTAGAAAAGACCCTGATGCTGGGAACGATGGAAGGCAAAAGGAGAAGGGATGGCAGAGGTTGAGGTGGCTGGATGGGGTCACTAAAGAGGTGAATGTGGGCTTGGGTGTACTCCGGGGGATGGGGGAGGACAGGGAAACCTGAAGAAATGTTGGCCATGGGGTTGTGAGGAGTCAGGCACAACTTTGAGACTGAACAACAACAACCCTTTAACTTCTGCTACCTGGATTTGCATGACACCACAATAAAATAAAATGAGGAATTAGACTTGCTCCTGATTGTGTGTGTGTCTGAGGTTCGAGAATGTAACTCCAACATGTTACTTGTGTATACTAGTAACCTATGAGGAATCAAAGGGCCTAGAGTGAAGTCCTACAATACAGTATTTATCCCATATGCAAATCCTCCTTTGGGCATGATGTTCATTCACGACACAATCCTCTTTGAGGCTCCTCAATGAGGTTCCAGTGGGACTTGCTCCCAAGAAAGTGCACAAAACTACAGCCTCAATTGCTTTGGGATGGCCACCCTCTCTCCCAAGGTTGCTGCGGGGATAAAAGGCGTCGGAGAGAAAGAGAAAACAAATCTTGTCGCTCTCGCAGAGCTCTTTGCAGGAAGGGTGGGGGAAAGAGCTATGCATGGTATTTATTCATGCAAATGAAAATCACAAAATAATTCTCAACGGCATTTCTGGACATTTCTTACTCAGTTGTTGTTTGCAACTGTAATTATTTTGAAAGGGCAACAAAAAATCCCCAAAGGCAGGCAGGACACTGGGACTGAAAAGACTGCCTAGATTTGATATTGAATTAACAAAGCTTAAAGGGCTCCCACGATGAAAAGCCCCACCACATTTACATACTTACATATTAGTGTTGGCAGTAGAAGTTAGCCAGTCTGCAGCTAATCCAACCATATCCAATCCAGTTGAAAGCTGATTGAAATACCTGGGGTGACCTGCATGACATTGAAATATGTGATGATTATCATTTTATGCAGTTTATTTTTCTTAGTAAGCCACGCTATTGAAGAGTGACTTGCATACATCAGCTCCACTGGGTAGGGCGACTGGAGTGTGAAACAAGAATACCACACTTCAAAATGTACTTTTTACCTGCATTCACTCGGAGAAGCAGTGTGGTGTAGTGGTTAAGACTGTTGGCCTGGGACTTGGGAGATTTGGGTTCTAGTCCCACTGACCATGAAGCTCACTGGGTGACTTTGGACCAGTCACAGACTCTCATCCCAACCTACCTCACAGGGCTCCTTTCTGAGGATGAAATGAGGAAGAGGAGTACCTTGCAAGCTGCTTTGGGTTCCTCACAAATGGAGGAAATGTGGGGATATAAATGTAGTAATAATAATATTCCTCCAGCCCCACCACCCCACATTTTCTCATGCAATGCAGCCCTCTTGCTGATACAAGCAGAGATGAGGCCTCTCCAGAGCGTGTAAGATCGCTCACTGGTCTTGCCTGGTCCCACCATCTCAGCCTCAAGTGGAGGGACACAGGCCCCGCAGAGCAAGATGCAGAGAGCTTGTGGGGGCCCATGATCATCAGGGAGGGCCCACAACTTTTGCCCCCTGAGATGGACAAGTGTCCTCCACTGCACTTAAGGGCACTCGGGGAGCTTGGAGGGCCCAGGACAGGTGGTGCAGCACATACAAATCTGTCCAGCAACAGAGAGCAAGAACTGGGGGTGCCTCCCACCACTGTCCCCCTGTCCCAACCTCTTTGGCCTGCAGCAGCTGTCCCACTTTGACTAATGGTATCCCTGTTTGGTCCATAGAAGAGCTACATATGAAATCCAGTAGGGCAGATGCTCTGACTTGACTGTCCCTGGACCAGGGCCCAGGAGCTGAGACCTGCAGGCCACCCACACGCTCCATGCAGAAGAACCCCCTAATCTGTCCAGAGTATCACATGCACCTTCTGTCTTCTTAAAGGCACCAGTGGAACAATTAATTCCCTTCTGGACCCCCCAACAGCCAAAGCTCCCTGGTCAGTTCACAGCATGATCAATCATAATATAAAGTTTACAATTCAAGAATTTAGCACAAGTTGAAAACAAGTTAAAACAGTTGGCAATTAAACAACGAAGGCCTGATAAAAACACTAAAATGCCCAATCATATGCTGTCAAATGTGTGGGTGGCTGGGGTGGAGGAAAGTCTTAACTTGGACTGAACATCTAACAGGATTGTTTCTGGATGGATTTCACAGGGGAGAGCATTCCACAGTTGAGGTGGGGAGGGCATGACAGAGAAGGCCCTTTCTCTTGTTGCCATCCTCTGAACTCCCATGGAGGATGCCCTTGAAAGAGATCCTCCAATATTGATCATCATGTACTGGTAGGTGCATAATGGGCGAGGTGCTTCATCATGTACATATCAGGATTCTGAGCCATGTAAGGTTTCATAGGTCAAGACCAGCTCCCTGAATTGGGCTCCTAAATGTACAGACAGGCAGCTCCATTGGGCCAGAGTTGGTGTTCTGTGCTCCAGCCTCCTGGCTATTGATGCCAATCTGTATCAACTGAAGGCTGAGCAGGCTAGGATGCTGTTCTGGCACAAGAAGGCTGTTCTGCCTTCTCTGTACAGTGGGCTGTGCTAGCAAATGCATTTCCTTAATCAGTTCAAGCCCCTCATCCAGAAGGACTCCTGAAGCCTCTCACATATAACTGGTAAGCTTAGAAAATCTTTCTGCATGCCATTATCCCATTGAAAAGCACCTCCTCTCTTGGAAGCTGCCACTTGCTGTGCTTGGTGGTGGGGAAACCATACAGGGAAGCAGACATCATGTTTCATTTGGCCCTGAGGGCCAGCTACCTAAATCAGGCAGAAAGAAGCATCTAAATGGAGAGAGCCAGATAAATAACACTGAATAGGAAGGGCGAATAGGTCCAAAATGAACAGGGAAAGAGTCGGCATGGTCATTGCCTCACATGCCCACCTTCATCCAAGGCATGCTTCTGTTCAATACTTCAGAAAAACAGGAGAAAATCAGATTTTCCCCCTTTGCCTGACAAGTAGGAAACAATCTGATTGCCTCCCACCGTCCAGCCTTCCTGATGGATTCTGCCCTGCGAGGACTGGGTAACGTGTGGCCTTTTGGCTCCAGACCTGATCACAGTAATAGACTTAGCCATGCTGAGATTCCAGGAACACATTAAAGCAGTGACCTGCTCCAGGGATCGGGTTGGCCATTCCTCAGCCTGACTTAACCCCCTCAGGGCGCCATCCTTCTCACACCTGATTCTCACAGTCCCAGCAAACCAGCAGCTTTTGCCTGGGCTCTTGGTGTAACACTGCAAGGAAGCTAAAGACCAGAGAATCCTTGTGGAGCCATAGATGACTTGTCAGGAGCTATGGCGATTTTAAAGGAGCTCAGGCCAGTAAGTGAGTTATTTTTTTCCTGCAGAGCGACTAAGGAAGGGGTGGTCAAAAAGTAGCTCTCCAGGTGCTTGGACTTCAAATCCCAGCATCCTATTTGATTGTTGGCCATGCTAAAAGGGGCTTCTGAGGGCTGGCTTAAAAGCATCTGAACACCTTCTGTCTGCCCAAACCTTATCTCAACAACAGTTTGGATTTGCACTTTTCACGAGTGACCATGTATGAGCAAGCTGTGGGTGCCTGCTTGGATTACTGAAGGACTAGGTCCTCTTTTACACAGTACAGTCCTCTCTATGGAGGACTCCCAGAAGACAGCCCTCTAGTTTGAAGGTATCCTCTACATGAAGACCTATCAAGTCCAAGTCTGGTACAAAGATCAACGGCCATCAGCAGAACAGATGAGCTTCAATGCTGGCCGGCAACAGCACCTGGACTGCACTTGTCACCAGGAGACAAGCATCACCACAGGCTGCACTGGGCTTCAATTTCAATTCTCATTATTTCAACATTTGCATCTATACCTATAAATTAGCAGAGGCATTTTTAAGATGTCTTTTTTGGCTCTCTCTCTTGCTGATGTCAGTCTTCTTCTCAGGTGATTCACAAGTGGCCTCCGCATGGAGGAGGGACCAAGCTCTCTCCTTCTTGGTCTCCTGGCAGACAATGCAAGTTGGAGAATGCAACTTGCCCTTCCTTGTAGTCCCTAAAATACAAGAGGCCCACTCCTTGAAACACCAATGGTGTGCTCCCACACACACCATTGGTGCACAACCTTTAAAGGTCTCGACTCCACCATTATGACCATCATTTCCTGGACCATCCCATAGCCAAGGCTCTTTGGGAAGTTTACAGCAACATTTCCTTACTTGTGTTTTCCAAACCATTGGCAGGGAAGTGCCCAGAAAATGACTGACGAGGCAGTGCTGGCGGAAAGCAATGCTAGCATGAAACCTGCAATGTACAAATATTGCATGACCTTCCGTGGAGTGCAGCTGGGTTTTTGGAAGCCCCATGCTGTTCAGTTGTACCAAGCGCCTCTCCCTTAAGACTCATCATGAAAGGGAAACATTAATCGGGCAATTAGGCTAGTCTTTGTCAAAGTCACCCTGAATGTACTTTAAGATATGTGCAAATACAGGAGGTTGAAACTCGTTTGCCCAGAAAGTGTGTGAGTGAATAAGAGAACAGAAAAACAGTATCTGAAATCTGGCCAGATAACCAGGGAGAAAACTAGCAGGTGTTACAATGAATTTGGCATTTCCTCTGAACTTGCTTTTTTGCACCCCATAATACCTATTAATCCTGTACAGTTGTGAGTAAGCCAATTGCCATACTTTAAAAAATCTGCTCATGGAATTTCTTATTGTTGATTATTTTAATTGTGTGTATGTGCATGCATGTGTTGTCTGTTTATATGCCTGTATGTAAATATTTGTCTATTGTGCTCAATATTATATTTTTAAGTTTTTAAATCTTTGGAAACCATCCACAGACCTTTGGCTACTGGGTGGAAAATACTTAAGCTAATAATGCTTACATTCCTTTAAAATCAGTGAGACTTAACCTTGTTGGATCTTTTCTGGACTACAGCCTATAGTTCCTCCCTTGACTCTCTGGATGTCCCACTTCTCAGGAAAATGTACATATGTGGGCAAAGCCATTGCTGTGATCAGGACAAAGGCTGGAATTGGTTCTAGCTAGTCCCTAGACTATGAGGCAAGTCAACATACTGTAGAAACACTCCTGTAAGGGGGATGACTGAGTTGAGATTCTGCTGTAGAGAATCTTAAGCCCATGGTGAGACCTGAGCAGAAAAGAGATGGAAGAACCCCATTTTCTTTTTCATTGCCAAATGAGAGAAAGAGAAGAAGAAATAATAAGATGGTGCTTGTTCTGATCTGATTGCATTTCCTCCTTCTCTTTAAAATGAACTTAGCAGTGCCTCCAAGCAACAGTCTTTTGACAGTCTTTGCTCGCAGGCCACATGTTGTCAATAAATGGTACACTTCAGAAGCAGAAACAGGCTGACCAACTGAGGAGCTTGTAATAACCTCTATGATGAATAGCTAATGATGATAAGATACAGGGAAAAATGAGGAAAGGGAGCTGACCCCTTTACACCGCAACCAAGGAGCCAATGATGGGACACAGTCTGCCTAGCCAGCAGAACGACATATCAGAACACACAATTATAAACTGCAGAATTGCCTGGTTATTGTAATTTTAAATATACTTGATTAAAGTCAAAATCACTTTGGTGGTGTCAAAATGATTAATGAAAAAAATATATTGTGGACTGTTCAGTACAATTGCTTGGCTTATTTCAGTGGTTTCTAGATCTTTCTGTAATGGATATTTAGCAAACCTTTTGGAGCAAATCTCTCTCTCTCTCTCTCTCTCTCTCTCTCTCTCTCTCTCTCTCTCTCTCTCTCTCTCTCTCTCATCTTTCTGAAACTGTTAGAACAACATTCTGTTAAAACCAAATAAACCAGAATTGCATACCAAATAAAGCTCTGTCTGGGTTTTGGTACCAGCGAAAAGACGAATTATCTGCAGCTTCTAGAA